TATGTGCATTGGGACAATGCACAAATACAGATGCTAAAGTTTGGGAAACAGTACTCTGCTAATATGCTTTATAGCACCCACAAAAGAGCTTCATTTTCACCTGTTCAAGATACACAATCTTCTCAATCAGGTTCTTATGTAACTCTTCCTGTTCCAGAAAACTATGATATTAAAAGACCAACTATCTTCACCCACAGCCCCTACCCAACATGCGAGAGTAGAGAAGGTCAGGAAAAACTCAGTAAAAACTTTCAAATTTTTGTAAATTCTGTAAAGTAAATTCTGTCCAAGGGTTCTCTTAAGATATGTAAGCATTTACAAGCATGGCCGTGGTTGTTAATGAGCACAGAAGATGCTGTAGACATATGGCACAGAGAACAATAGACCAGGGAGTGCCTTCCAGACAGCAGACTCAAGGGGTGGAGGGGCTTGACATCCTTGTTAGGTAGGATTTCAGATTCACTGCAGATCATGATTCCCATTCTTCATCTTGCACATGGAAGTTTTGATTGAAGCTTTTCAGTCCTGTTTCACGATGGCATGTTGCGTTGGAGATAGGGGTAGAGATAGTTTGCCTTTTAAAAAATTTTTATTTTTAATTGATATAACTGTACATATTTATTAGATACAGTGTGGTATTGTGATACATGTATACAATATATAATGATAAAATCTGAATAATTAGCATCTGCATCACCTCAAACATCATTTCTTTGTGTGGAGAACATTCAAAATCCTCTCTTCTAGCTATTTGAAAATATAGAATAAATAATTGTCAACTATAGATACCCTACAGTGCTACAGGACAATCAAACTTATCCTTCAATTTAGCTATATTTTTGAACCTATTAGCCAACATCTCCCTATCCTCCCTCTCCCCCACCCTTCCCAGCCTCTAGTTACCACTATTCTAGTCTCTACTTCTGAGATAAACTTATTTAGCGTCCACCTATGAGTGAGAACATGTGGTATACATCTTTCTGTGCCTGGCTTATTCAGTAAAGGTAATGTCCTCCAGGCTCCACCATTTTGTTTCAAATGACAGGATTTAACTATTTTTTTTTTTGTGGTTGAATAATGTTCCATGGTGTATACATGCAATATTTTATTTATACGTTCATCTGTTGATGGACACTTAGGTTGATTCCATTTCTTTGCTATTGTGGGTAGTGTTGCTATAAACAAGGGAGTGCAGAGACCTCTTCAATACACTGATTTCCTTTCTTTTGGATGTATACACAGAAGTGGGTATGATAGTTTTATTTTTAGTGTTTTGAGGACCTGCCATATTGTTTTCCGTAGTGGCTATACAAATTTACATTCCACCAACAGCGTACAAGTGCTCCTCTTTATGTTCATCATCAGAAGCATTTTTTTTTTGTCTTTTTGATAATAGCCATTCTAACTGGGCTGAAATAATATCTCATTGTAGTTTTGATTTGCATTTCCCTGATGATTAGTGATACTGAGCATTTTTAAATATACCTTTTGGGCCATTTGTATGTCTTCCTTTATGAAATGTCTGCTCATGTCTTTTGCCCAAATCATTTTTTTTTTTTTTGCTAGCAAATAGTATTCTGGTTATTAATCTCTTGTTGGATGGATAGTGTGCAAATATTTTCTCCCATTCTGTAGGTTGACTCTTCATTTTGTTAACTGCTTTCTTTGCTGCGCAAAAGCCTTTTAGCTTGATGTAATTCCATTTGCCTATTTTTGCTTTTGTTGCCTATGCTTTTGAGTTCTTCTCCAAAAATCTTTTCTCACACCAATGTCCTGTAGCATTTTCCCAATGTTTTCTTCTTGTAGTTTCATAGTTTCAGAGATTCTATTTAAATTTTTAATCCATCTTGAGTTGATTTCTGTATATGATGAAAGACAGGAATCTATTTTCATCCCTCTGCATATGGACCCCCGTTTTCCCAGAACTATTTATTGAAGAGATTGTCTTTTCCCCAGTTTCTGTTCTTGGGGCCATTTTTGAAAGCCAGTTGGATGTGACTATATGGATTTATTTATGAGTGCTTTATCTGTTACATTGGTTTTTGTGGGTTTTTTTTTCTGCCAATACCATGCTTTTTTTGTTACTATAGCTTTGTAGTATATTTTGAAGTAAGGTGGTGTGATGCTTCCAGGTTTGTTCTTTTTGTTCAATATTGCTTTGACAATTCTGGGTCTTTTGTGATTCCATGTGAATTTAATGATTGTTTTTTCTATTTCTTTGAAAATGTCATGGACTTTGAGAAGGATTGCATTGAATCTATCGATTGCTCTGGGTGGTAGGGTCATTTTAACAATATTAATTCTTCAAGTCCATGAACATAAGATATCTTTCCATTTTTCTGTATCCTCTCTCATTTCTTTCATCAGAGTAACACAATTTGCATTTTATAGACCTTTCACTTCCTTTGTTAAATTTATTCCTAGGCATTTTTTGTGGCTATTTTAAAAGAGATTGTTTTCTTGATTTCTTTTCCATGTAGCTCAGTATTGATGTATAGAAATGCTACTGATTTTTGCATGTTTATTTTGTATCCTGTGACTTTACTTGTTCATTTATTAGTTCATAGAGTGTTTTGGTGGAACCTTTAGGTTTTTTACTATATATGATCATGTCATCTGCAAACAAGGATAATCTGACTTCCTTCTTTCCATTTTGGATGGCTTTTATTTCTTTCTCTTACCTCAGTGCTCTATCTAGGACTTCCAGTATTATGTTGCATAGAAGTGGTGAGGGTGGGCATCCTTGTCTTGTTCCAGATCTTAGAGAAAAAGCTTTCAGCTTTTCCCCATTCTGTATGATGTTAGCTGTGGGTTTGTCACATATGGCCTTTATTGCATTGAGGTATGTACCTTCTATACCTAATTTGTTGAGAATTTTCACTATTAAAGTATGCTGGATTTTGTGAAATTTTTTTTTTCTGTGTCTATTGAAATGATCATAAGTTTTTTGTCTTTCTTTCTGTTAATGTGATGTATTATATTTATTGCTTTGCATATGTTGAACCATCCTTGCATCCCTGGAATGAATCTCACTTGATCATAGTAGATGATCTTTTTAGTGTGCTGTTGAATTTGGTTTGCTAGCATTTTTAAGGACTTTTGTACCTATGTTCATTAGGGATTTTGGCCTGTAGTTTTCTCTTTTATTCATGTTCTAGTCTTGTTTTCATATTAGTATAATGCTAACCATATGGAGTGATTTTAAAATAATTATCTCTTCAATTTTCTGAAATAGTTTGAGAAAAATTAGTATTAGTTCTTCTTTAAGTATTTGGTAGAATTAATCAGTAATTCCATCTAGCACTGGGCTTTTCTTTGTTGGGCAACTTTTTAAAACTGCTTCAATCTCATTACTTGGTCTATTCAGGGTTTCTGTTTGATCTTGGTTCAATCTTGGTATGTTGTATGTGTCCAGGAATTTATTCATTTCCTCTAGGTTTTTCATTTGTTTGTTTGTTGTTGTTTATGATACCAGTTGTAATGTCTCTTTTATCAATTTTGATTTTATTTATTTGAGTCTTCTCTCAAAAAATCCACTTTTTGTTTTATTAATCTTTTGTAAAGCTTTTTAGTTTTTATTTTATTTGTTTCTGCGCTATCTTTATTATTTTGGGGGGATTTGGTTTGTTCTTGCTTTGCTAGTTCTTTGGGATACATATTAAGTTCTTCACTTAAAGTGTTTTTTTTTCTTTTTTTGATGTAAGCATTTATTACTAAAAAAACCTTTCCTCTTAGTATTGATTTTGCTATGTTCTATAGCTTTTGGTATCTTGTATTTCTATTTGTTTCAAAACATTTTTATTTTTTTAATTTTAATTTTTTTTATTTCTTCATTGACCCATTGATCATTCAGGAGCATATTGTTTAATTTCCATATGTTTGCACAGATTCTAAAGTTTTTCTTATTATTTATTGATTTCTAGTTTTATTTTATTTTTGTAAGAAAATATACTTGATATGGTTTTGATTTTTAAAATTCGTTGAGATTTGTTTGTGGTCTAACATGTGGTCTGTAATATTTTATGTGCTGATGAGACAAATGTGTGTATTCTGCAGTTGTTGGATAAAATATTCAACTTTTGTGTTTTACTTACAGAAGTACAGTGTGTGCATGCTCATGCATGTGTGTGTGGAGAGAGGAGCATGTGTGTCAGCTTATGTTTGTATGGGAAGGGGGCTGAAGATCACCTCTCTTAGGGTTCTGCTAGGGCAGGTGGTGTGGATTCGAATCTCCTTCTTCCTGCTGCAGCATCAGGTATCTTCACAGTAGGCACTCGAAAAAAAAAATAGGACTAAGGTGATTAAGTTAGAGACAGAGGGAGAGAGAGAGGCAGAGAGAAGTGTGTGTGTGCGTGTATGTCAGTGTTGGGTGGTTTGGGAGATCCAAGTGTGTGAAGGGGTGTGTGTGTGTGAGTGTCGGGATTTTGGAGATCTGTGTGTGTGTGTCTCTGTGTGTTTGAATGTCTGTGTATGGGAGTATATCCTTGTGTGAGAGTGTGGGGCTGGATATGTGTTTGTGGGTGTGGTGTGAGTGTTCAAGTGCTTGGCTCCAGGTGTTGGGGGCATCAGAAAAGGAAGATGAGTGCAGAACAGATCATTAGGCTAGACTATGCACAAGCACTATTTCTTTGGAAAAAAATTTAAAAAGGAATCAACTAAACACAGATGATGATGGCTTGAAGCAGGCACCATCTACACTCACGTGCGACTCACTGCAAGTCATTAAGTTATAAACATTCAGGTGAAAGGAAAAAGCCTTGTTCTAGCTGTGCCTACCCAAAGTAACAGGTTGGGTGGGTGGCCCTGAGCACACTCCCATTGCCAGCCCAGCAGTGTCCTGTGTGTACAGCAGCCATACACATTCACATACATTCTCAGTGTCAGGATCGAGCACCTTCTGACTACAGACCTCACGACCAGCCCTCATAGTGTTAGTTCCTGCTTCACGCTGAGAAGGCAACAGAGATTTAATCAGCCAGTGACACACACACAGTCAGATGTGGAGTTAAAAGTTATTTATTGAGGGAAGACCAGGGATAGTTCACTTGATCCCTCCCCAAATCCCTCCTCAGATGCACCCTGAGCAACAAGAAGACTAGTTCAGTCAGTGAGACTTTCAGCCTTACTCAGAGGCACAGGAGCCCTCCAGAGTGAGGGAAAGGAATATCTTTTTAGAGGTGCAAAGGAGGGATTATGATTCAGGGTGACAGCATGCTAACCGCAGGGTCAATAGGCAAATGGTATTCATAAGCAGAATGGGGTAAGGTGTTCAGTATCCAGTGGCTGGCTCCTCAAGGGCATGGCTGTGGACCACATTACTTCTGCTTGGTCTTCTGCTGGGCTGGTGCTGGTGTGACCGTTGAAGGGCAGGGCTCAGGCACCTTGGGGTGGCAGGGCTCAGGCACCTTGGGGTGGCAGGGCTCTGGAAACTTGGGGTGGCAGGGCTCAGGCACCTTGGGGAGGCAGGGCTCCTTGGTTTTGGGGATGCATGGTTCCTGGGGTGGAGGCTGGCAAGGCTGTTTCACCTGCTGCTGCTGCTGAGGCTGAGGGGGTAGGGTGCAGGGCTGCTTCTGCTGCTGGGAATTCATGCTTCAAATGTGTTTTTTTTCTGGAGACAGAAAGCTGACACAGTGATTCAATTAAAGAAAGATGGATACAAATTCAATGCCAAATAGATTTTATTTTGGGACCCTTTAGAAGAGAAAGCCTTTCATCTCCTCTAGCCCCCCGCCAATACATTTAAAAATGAAATAAACTTGGATAATTTTCAGATCCTTTTAAGAGGAGGAGCTAAAAGGCAATTTCTTCTGCTCCATTTTATTGGAGTTCTTTTCTTGGCTCCCTTCCTACCCAAGACATCTTATATCTGTTCTAGAAAAATGCCCTAAGAAAGCTGGCTTCTGAGGGACATGAGGCCCGCACATTAGGTCTTCTGGAAAGTGGCATCAGGCCACTGCAGTCTATCCTCTCCCAGTACCATGTAGAAAGCCTGTGACTTATAGGATGGCTTTATATTCATCTAAGCCCCTACGATTTTGCTTCTGGTCTGTGCTTACACGGTCCCTTCCAAATGCTTTTCTTCCCATCTCTGCTTGTCCAAATACTCCTCCATCATAGCTCACATCACTTGACACCCCCGGGAGGGTCTCCTTGAGCAAGGTTTCCCAAAACTGCACAGCCCTTCCCTGCCCCTCTCCCTCATGCCAATTACTATCTACTTTGCATTTCATTTATTTATATGTATGTATTACCTTCCTGCTAGGTTTTATGTTTGTTAAGTAAGTACGTTAGGCATTGATTTGTCCAAAGTGCCTAGCATACTGTCTTAAACGGAATAAATGCTCATTAGAGATCCATCTAATAAATTTAAATTTCTGTAAATATCTTAGCGGGAAATTGTAGTGTTACTGAGAGTGCTCTGGGCCTGAGCCCTAGTTCTGCTATTAACTTCCCATGGGCACTTGAACAGTCAGTCTCCTCCAGGACTCCCAGTTCAATGACTATCTACTGAAGTGGGAGCCCTAAACATCTCTAAGGTCTTTTCAAATCCAGATTGTAATTTAACTTAAAATAAAGATATTCCACTATTCTCTAACTCCCACTGAAACCCTGGATTAACCTTCTTACACATATTTGCCTTTGGCTAATTTCTAATAATGAAAAAATAAACAAGAATTCCTTTTGTTGCAATCAGAGACTTACCTGGTATATGGAGCAGAATGGGCTGTGTGGTCCCTTGGGTTTGGTGTGAAGGCAATGGCCCGCTGACTTTTATAAGATGAACGAGCCCTGCCTCAAGGAAATAGAAGCTCTCAGGTGCTCTGTTTTCATTCCTCACCTGTCACACATGACTCACACTACCATCCTCATCACTGTTTGGCTCAGCTTTTGTGATGAACGCCATCTGATATTTTTTGCCACTGGCTGACAATGATGTCACTGGCCTAATTTTCACTGCCACCCTCATCCTCAGACCCAGGTGCAGGGCTTGCCTTGAGGGAGGGCTGAGCAGCAGGCTTCTTGGAGAGTTTTATTAGTTAACCCTGGGGGGAGACCTGAGTCCTGTTGAGGCCTTGTCACCTGCTGTCCTTGTCATTGAGACGGTTCTGTGGGACAGAGCAGTCTTGCACACATGAATGGGTGGGAAAGGGAGGGGGAGCAGAGGAACTGAGGCAGGCACTCCTTGTCTGCCTTGGTGAAGGTGGAAGCTAGAAATAATGAAATGGTCTGATTATAGACCCCTTGTCTCAGAGTCCAAGACCTTCCATCCATTTCCCCCATCTTTTTCCCAATTCCATTAAATTACACACATTCAGAATAATTTACTGATGGCTCTCCTACCCACCCCTCCCTCTCCCTGACTGGTTGCTAATGTGGGAAAACCTGCTTTCCTTCACCAACCACACCTTTATCCTTCTCCTACTTCAGGAAATTTCAGGGGCTAATCCTTCTGGGATGACCTTTTCCCTCCACTCCACGCAGACATCTGGCCCTGGCCTTTTCCTCCTTTCTAATCAGGCTAGACTGCCCCCAACCTGAAAACCCAAAAGCCTTTTCTACCTGCCTCCCCGCAGCCTACCCATGGGGTCCTTAATGATGAATCCGTCTCAACTTTTGCCCACTTCCAGCTCCAGCCCCAATACCTAGAGATCCTGCTGGCTACAAGGTTTTCCTTCTCCCTCTGGGTCTGTATCTCCAGGGGGCTTTCTGAGGGTCAGAGCTGTTCCTGTTCAAACCAACGGTGTCCCCACCACAGTGTTTGTTTCCTCATTTATTCAACAGATCTCAGTGGGGAGCCTAACATATACCCATCATGCCTGTCATTCTTTGATGAGGAAGCCCACTTTCCCCCTACAGACCGTGAACGCCCCAGGGTAAGAGACAGAGCACAGTTCAGAGCCACTGAGATTATGGATCTCAGAGAGCCTTTAGTCCACACTCCTCAAGGGATGATTGGGGAACCTCAGGTCACAAGAGGTGAAATAACTCATCAAGGTCAAAAAAACAAACCCCAGGAAGAAGAGAATTATACACATAAATCCTGTGTTCTCCTTTGTTTTGATTCCTTATGACTCCCTAATGTCTAAGGAGGAAATTAAGCCCAGGTGGAAAATTGATTAGAGGTGGAAAGGGGAGCCCTTCCTGGCTGAGAGCTGGACCACTCGTAGTTCTGGAAAGTTTCAGGAGTGGCAGTGTGAGGACACAGAAAAAGCCTTGCCTTGTGGGTGAGCCTTAATCAGTGCTAAGATAAATCCCTTTAAGTAGAAATAAAGATGCTTAATATTTGAGTGGCTCTAAACAGTGGGTGTTTCTAGCTCTGCTAAAGTAGGAAGGGCATGAATTAGAATAGGTGGAAATAAGGTTCAGTTTATCATCACTCAGGGCACCAGGGTCGGAGAGAGGAAGGGAAAAGCCAAAATTAAAAGTCAAAAACTAAAGCCAAAACTAAAATGTCTGCTTTGAACCTGAGTTGATTTCACACTAGGGGAGCTCTCAGAGTGACATCATAACACAGCTGAGGTGAAGGCACTGGGGCAGGTAGTAGGTGATCAGCCCCTGAGTGCCTGCACACACTTGCCTTCACTTCATGATGGTCAGATTCTGAAGGGTCTCCCTGCCAAGGAACTTCTCTTTCCTGGGGACACAAGAACAGGGATTCCCTCAGTCCTTCCATAGGCAATTCCCGTAAAACTGATGTCCCTGGTTCAGAGCTGCACTTGAAACACAAACTGTTACTAGGTGTGGCCTTTGGAAAATCCAAATCATCCTTAAAACTTAGGTGTGCAGATAGTTCCTCCTCCTCATCTAACCCCTCCTTTACCCAAACACACACCTAAATGTTTGTGGAGCACCTGCTGGCTCCACAGCTGGTGAACTTGAGGCCAAGGTCAGCCTCCCACTGTGTCCATGCGGCCATAGGTCCCTATTCATCTCCATCCTCACACAGTGCCTGGCATGCAGAAGCTGCTCGGCAATTATAGACTGGCAATTATAGACTGACTGCCTGGCTGGCTGGCTGGCTGACTGAATAAATGAATGAATGACTGAATGGTGTTATTTGTGAAGACAGGTTCAGAGTCTACTTTGAGAATTACCTAGAAGCTCTGGTACAGAGTCTACCCACTGCTCTTCCCACCCACCTGCTTCATTGTCAGACAGTTTAATGCCCCACCTTGCTCCGGGCTGGTGCCAGCCCCATTGGTACACCCGAGCTCCAAGCCTCTTGCCTCACTTTGTTCTCTTCTAGGTCTGTGCCCAGGTCCCCTTGTTCACCAAATCCCCACCCACGAGCCCTGACAGCAGGGGCTGCTGGAACCTGTTGCTATGTCTGGTAGGATTCTCAGCCCTGCAGGAACCTGCTGCCTTGTCCTCTGTCCTCTGGTATCACCCAGCTTGTCTCAGGCCCTGGATGATCTGAAGCCAGCTCCGATGCTGGTGTGCTCTCATGCCCTCCCTGGACCTTAGCCTTGGATGCAAAGGAATTTCCCTCTCCCTGGTTATCAGTCCTGACTAGACAGTCCTGCCTGCCTCAACATGTGCTTCCTTCACCCCACCCAAGCCTGCGTGGGCTGCAGACTCTGGAATTTTCTCTTGGTCTCTGACATTCTTCTCCCTGTGTATCTGAAGCTTCCACAGTGACTTGTGTTAATCTTCCCTTAGAAGAAACTTTGTTTCTCTGCCACTAGGGTTGAGTGAGCTGTTGAATCGGCCCCACAAACTCCCACATAAAGACAGGGGGAAACTGGGTGGCTGCCAACAGTAAATACAGCTCCCCAGATTTCTCAGCCTTGCACAGGAGCCCCCACCTAGGACACAGGAGCTGCTGCTCTTCTGACATCGAAAACTGGCTCTCATTTGTCCCCGGGACTTCCATTGACTCTGAGCAGTGCCTCAGGTTCATCAGTCATTCCCAGAGCAGGGAAGATGGACGGCCCTAAGTCTAATCAGTGATCAGGCTTTTCCCAGCATAGATTACTCTCTCCTCCCCACTACCCTAAAGTCCAGACCCTACAAAGAAGGTCATGCAGAATTTGAACTCCAGGCCTTTTCCTGTGGGGACTGCATATCTAAAGCATGGTAACATTTAGAAATATGCAATATTCAGACTTTTACCCCCCACCCTTTCTCTGATCACCTTGAGAAGCTAGGGAGACCGCAAGAGTGTCAGCTGCTCCACTCAGGCCATGATAATTTAAAAAATGTCTCTATAACACACAAGGTCTTCATCTGAGAAAGGGCAGGAAAAGGAGAAACACCAGATCCCAGGTGTTAGGAGCCTCCTGAACACTTTGGCCCAGCAGGAGGAAAAGCTAAGTTTGCAAATGTGGGTGCAGAGGTGGAGGGAGGACATGAAATAGCACCTGAGAAACTCTCCTCAACCCCTCATCCTATAGACAAGGAATGATCTGGTGTGGTGGGGAAAGGAACTCACTCCAACCTTCACAGCCTCTTTAGTGGCAGAATCAGACCAAAACCTGGGATGCCCAATTCCCTTTCCTTTCTACCATCTCTTTAAGAACAGAGCATGCCCCTCACCTTCACTGTTTTTATTTCCAGTCCTTGAAGGGATGGACAAAAAATTAAACTTGGCTTCTCTAGCTTGAGGGATATAGAAATAAAAGGACCCAGGCTTAATGTCTGGCCCAGCTGTTTCAAAGCCTTGCCATGCCCTTATTAGTTGGATGACCTTGAGCAAGTTGCCTAACCTTTCTGCAAGCTATTGTTCTTATCTTTAAAAGGATAACTTTAAATTCTACTTCACAAAGTTGCTATAAAGATTAAATGCAATGATGCTTCTAACACTTTAAGATGAATGAGCTAAATACATCTAGCATGATAATTCTTGCTAGTTTGTCTCGTTCTTTCCTCTCCTTCCGCTTGAAATCAGATGAAACTTCTTCCTTTTGACTGCGAGTTTCCTTTTTTCCTTTTCACTCTGTGTGTGTGTGTGTGTGTGTGTGTGTGTGTGTGAGAGAGAGAGAGAGAGAGAGAGAACAGAGAGAGAGCGCCCAAGGACAGGGCATACTTCTTCAGTGGAGCAACATTCTTAGCCTTTGTGATTGATTTATCTCCCCTCATTGTTTTACCTTCGATTTCAGGTTTACATGTTTACCAAATTGTATCTTGAGTTATTGAACAGTGACAATGACTGCATGGTTCATGTTTTATAGGAGTTGGGGCATGGGAGGTAGCTAAAATTATTGGTGATTATACAAAAACCTGGACAAACCTTAGATAAGGAAACTGAGGCAGAAAAAATGTTGAGTGACTCTCCCAACATATCATAAAGGTCTGATGTGCTAGGGTACAGTCCCTTGAGAACTATGTTGTGTTGCTTCTCAAGACTAGTGGGATGCTCTATAAACCAGAGGGTGACTCTTAGAAGAGACACTGACTGGATCCCTATAGTCTCACACATCTGAGCTGATCGACTGCCTATCTTCCACTAGAGGTAGAGCTTCTCCCGGTATGGATGATCAAAAGACACAGACATATTTTAAAATGAAAAGTATTAGAATCTGGGATGGTTCAGACTGATGTGCTATCCCTCCTATCAGTCATTGCCTCCTGGGCTGTAGAGGGGGGAAAGGAACAACTGCATAGCTAAAAATTTTCTGCAGAGAATCTAAACCCCACTGGTAGTGGCTGCTGTTTGTGTTGTTGCTGGTCCCTTCTGTTTGCTCAGTTATGCCTGCTTTGTCCCTGATCTTCTTCTGAAAGCACCTTCTTGAGAGTGCAG